GCTCAGGAAGCTGTGGCAGCCAGGCAGAAGCCACAGATTTGACCAAAGTCCCACCCTTTGTCATTGATTGTGAGAATTCTGCATCTGCTTCTTCATACAGAAGTCAATGAAGCTGTTGCAATAGTTTAACTTTGTCTTAGAACAGGCACGGAACACAGAGATAAAAATTATACCAGCTTCTTGTTTATTTCTGGTTTTTATTATTATTTTTCAGAAGAAATAACCAGCTCAGAAACAAACCATTAAAGAAGCATTCAAATCAAACAGATTGCGCTCCTGAAGAAACCTTATTATTCAAATCCAAGTTATCTGGATGGATCCAGGGGTAGCTGAATTAATTTCCACATTTTATTTTGCACAGGAGAGCCAAGTAAGCACAGTGATGAACCTCATTGTCTTAAAAATCTGATAGTTCTAATCTTCAAGAAAACACAGCTCTCTGTGTTGACAAGTAAACAGTATGAAGGAAACTGTATAATTTAATGCTCATATAAAACAATTATCTCAGCTTATTAGCAATAATTATACCAACCATCATCATTAGCCCTGTGGGCTCATAATGCAGATTTATTAAGAAGGCTGCAGCATTCTTCTCCTACCTTCAGAAAGACAGCCATGACTGCTAATCCATCTGATTGACGAGCTGCCTCGACAAAACTGGAATACTTCTCTGAGTTCCAATGGACCACATGAAGCTGAAAAGCAAGAGACACAGACAGCATCAACTCTCGCTGAACTCCAATGGTCACAAATTAATACTACAACTTTACTGGTTTTGACACTCTACTTTGTTCTTTTGTATTCAAAGCCATTCAGTTTTCTAAATGGGATTATTTTTTGAAATTGTTAAATATATAGTTCACACAAATGGCAAAAAGCATTTCCAGTGGCTGGGATTATTCAAAATTTAGCAGCAAACAACACACTATCGTGCCTGGCAAACTGTTGTTGAGTCCATAGATTGTGAAGAGAGAAGATGAGACAAGATATCCCACGTATGTTATGTAACTAAAGCTTTTAAATCCATTTTTAGTACAGCTGATTCTAAAAAGTGATTGAAAATCATGAGAACATAATGTTGTTCCTCTTTTTCCTTCATCAAGCTTTCAGTAACATTAATCAGCCACATAAATAGCTAGAAAACAGGCAGAGGACCACACATTAAACTTACACTGACCCCTTTTCACTTGCTTAGTTTAAGCTGAACATCAAAATTGCATTTTCAATACTTCCTAACTGTAATCTTCTGTAACTACCAGTAGTCAGGCACTCAAAGGCAGCTTGGTTACCTCACGTTTGAAAGTCTGCATTTCCAGCATGCGTTATTTCTGGAACTGTCCTGTAGCAGTTGCTTAAGCAGCTGAAAGACATCACCTAGCCAGGCGGGGAAAGCAAAAGCCCATGATGTCTCCCCCTGCACCACCTCAGCTCCTCCTGCTAAGCCAGTTTTCCTAAATCCTGGCCATGCTCCACAGCGGGAGCTCCTGGTTCCCAGGAAGCGCCAGGACGTCCCAGCCTTGAGCAGCGGTCCTACTGCCAAACTGGAGAGAGCACAAACTCTCAGACAGAGCTTAAGACCAAGTACTTCACAGACGTTAATTACTCTCACAAATCTCCAGTGGATTAGGAAATGTTATTACCCACAGTTTTTAGATGAGGAAAGAGAGGTTCAGAAGCAGGGCATGGGATTGGCTTTTCTGAAACTGGTGACCGTTCAGACTTTGAACTTTAGGAATGCCAAAAAGCAACTCCACTGAATGACTTAAACTGGGATGAACCCATGAAAAAAGAATCAGGGCTTCCTTTCCCAATACAGCACTTCAAGACCTCTAAAGTAAGAGCAATTTAGGAAAGCTGGAACTTGCTTTAAAGGTTTTCTATGGAAGCAAGATAGCTGCATGTTTGAAACAGGTATCAAAGTGTGTGAAGATTTTGACTGTAAATCTCAGTAAATCCTTGCCTAACCTCTATGAGTTTCAATTTTCCATACCTGTATAATAGAGCTCTTACTTGGTCTACAGAGTATAATTAATGTTTGTTAAGCACTTGGTCTCTAAAGTGCTGAAATGTTACTTCCAGCAAGTAGGGAATCCCCCTGAAATCAGCAATAATACATGTATGCTCACACGGAAACATGTGCTGGCTCACAGCTTCAGAGGTCCTTGAAGGAAATTTGCTAAGAATATTATAAACTAAACCATTCTCAGGTGCATTAGTGTCCCAGAGCTCACAGTGCCTGCACCACTCACTATTATAGCTTCACAGAAGCTATACTGAACAACTTTTAAACAACTACATTTTTACATACACAAAAAGGAAACAGATACTCTCAGTCAGAATTGACTTTTATTGTGGATTTGAAAAAAACAAAAAAAACCAACAGAGAACAGAAAGGAAAATTCCCACAGCTAAATAACGCCCACTCCCACTCCCTCCTAGCTTTGCCAAAAACCCCCACACT